ATACGGAATTTTCTATTCAGGTTTAGAGATAAGACAAATAATTTAATGAAAGGGAGAGTTTAAAGTATTAATGTCGTGCAACAAAAGTAATAATATGTGAAAGTGTTTCTTGAAGTATTGGGTTTACAGAGGTTCAGCATGTTACATGAAAATGATTTTGGAACCTCATCATGTCGTTACAGTACACGTAACTCCATCCAGTCATGATTTAACTGACGATCCTGCATGTTTATATTAATTCTGCATTGTATTTTCTATTGCAATGGTTCCGTCATAGGGCGGTCAGGTGAAAACACTACTCTTCTCTTTGCAAGCCTTCCATAATCCAGCTAGTGCATGAGGACGATGGTTCCAGCGGCTATTTCAACAGTCCGATCGCACAGAAATACATTATCGCTGTTTTCGTCGACTTAATCGGTATGTTTTCATATGGAACAGCATGAATACCCGTTTCATTACCCAGGTTAACGACGTTTGAACAGGAAGTGTGACAGAAAGCTTTAGCCTCGTGAACCCATACCCTTTTTGGCCTCATTTTCAGATTTCTGAAAGAGCTTCAATTTGATTATAACGCATACTGTTTACTGGAGTACGTGGATGAGTGTATAAATGTTACGTGTGGGAATGGATTGTTGCATACCCTTCCCAAAAGTAATGTAGTTCTGATACACGTTTTTCCACTGCGACTTTATATCAGCTATTTGAATATCCATAACCGTTTTAGTACAACGTACTCAAACCTCTGTATAATTTCATAAAGTTATACACAAATTCAACGTTATTCTATTTCCCGAGACCATTGCTTGAATAATAATAAATATCTATTAAAATGCTTAGAAAAAAATTAACTTCAGGAGAAGTGCACAAAAATCTGGTTATTTATGTGAAATCTCATCGTTTGGGGCAACATTAGCATCTAACATCATGTGGTGATATATATTGGAAATATATAAAGCTGTCAGTGTGTGATGCTGCAGAAGAAATGACACATATTTATTTGTCAGTGTAGCTAAGGATGATCAGAAGCTGCAGATCCTTATGGAAAATAATTATAAACAAAGCTATGATGCATAATTAAACGTAAGTAATGTATGTAAGGTCACAAACTAGTAAATCACTAATATATTAAGAGTTACTTTCTTTTTCATCTGATGTTGGCCCCTGAGGCTTCAATATGTCTCACCATAAATTATATGTAAAATTACTAGTTTCCCGCTTTTTAACCCCGACTAATACAATATTTGCGGAAAATATGATGGAAACTAATTTTGGAAAAGCATAGTAAAAAGATACGGTTGATAAAGGTTTTCTGATTTTTGGTGTGTATAATCTAGAGTTGACTCAATAGTGGAAACGTTCATTATAATACAAAAAGAGAATGCATAATAATTAAGATATATAAATAATGGATAACGCCATTTTACGGAACTTCTGACACTTTTTTTGGGTTATTATCATACGTAAACATTAATTCTAAGCCTGAAGAGTAAGCGAACTAGGATGTTCTGTATTATAGTGGATATTTACCTGCTGGCTAATTTTTTATAGTAAAACAATTTTATAGAATTATATACATATTGAAAGTATCAGCCATTATAAGATTGCTCTCTCTTTTAATTAACAACCCATGTTTAGCAGAGACGAAAATAGAACACTACTTAGTGTACTGTACAGACCATATTCACTTAAAATGTATACATCTCAATATTAATAGTTAATGTTATTGTATAAGATGCGAAACGAGAGTCGCATAAAAAATAGGAATCTTAGCATCTTCTTCTGAAGGTGGGGGAATTCCACATAAGCCTGTAAGACGTTTCAATATATAAGAGAGAGAACTTACAATACTCACATAGTATACGAATTTTTTTCATCAACGCAAAGTCCCAAGTGTTACCTCACGTTAAAGAAAAAATATCTAATCTGTACGTAGACCGTGAGTGCATATAAAATATCGTGGTTTCATACAATGACTAAATGCGTAAAACTTTTTTTGCACTATAATATTATAAACTAAAAATAACCCAAACATGTAATAAGTTTTCCGTGTGTAACTCTTTTATCATTCCTCGTGTTTGTGACAATTTACGTAGAAACCTACTGTAACCATTGTGTATAGTCTGTAATATTTGTGCACAAGCTTTTCATTCCAGAACTACCAAATTGTTCACCGCCACTAATGATGTTTATTACATTACACACAAAGACAAGTTAAGTATTAATAATTCTGTAATGATTTCTCTCCTTACTCGTTATTATTATAACTGAAATGGAGAAGAAACAAGATAATTTACATTTATACTTACGGCGAAGTACTGAAGACAAACACTTGAAAGCAAGGACAACATATCTGCGATATATGTATAAGTGTTTAGAAAATTCGGTGAAAATTTTTACAAAATCAACTAATGCAACCTTCAGATGACTGGTTTAATTTCGTTTCTTGCTCAAAGTTTCGCTTACACTTTCATTAGAAATGCCAAAACATACAGAGTAAACCACCTTTTCTTTATAATATTATTCTTGTATTATAATATAGAATAAATCAAGTTTGGCTCTAATATTAATTTTATACATTACGACAGATATATGCTATCGTTTAAACGACGTTACGTCAAAGGATTCGAAATTTTCTCTAAGCTCAAGATGGAGTGTATAATTACACCGTATTTTGCTAATTTGTTTTATCGTCTTCTTCTCATAACCTTCATGTTATTAATCAGTGTTGTTAACGAGGTTTTTATAACGAAAATTATGACGAACTTAGTGTGGCACTGAGTTTGATATGTTTAATGTGGATATTGGCATAGGTCTTTCATGTTTGATGTGATATATTCAAATAAGTTTAACGTAAATTTAAAATATTTATCGTGGATATAATGACATACATTTAACATGTTTAACGTGATATGTTGATATAAGTTTAACATGCTTAACGTGGAAATTGGCATAAATTTATATGTTTAACGTGGATATTGATATACGTTTAATATGTCTAACATGGATACTGACATGCATTTAATATGTAAAATGTGGATATTCAGATACGTTTAATGTTACAATAAAGGAGCTTTTAAATTGTCACTTGAAGATGTTTTCGATACCAAAAGAAAAGAAAAAAAAAGATGAACGAAATAATTTTTGAAACAATATAAAACATGAGGACACCGTGAGGTATTTTTGTCATTCCCAAATTAATTAAAAGTAATACATCATTTGTTTTTATGTGATTTTTTACTGTTTGTTTTATGATCGCTACCAACATCCCACGATACACAATATGATCATCATTTACACATCTAAGAATTATCAGGATAAGCAAATAAACAATAACGCAATTAATTACTGTGGCTCATATTATGTGTTCAAAATTTATATTATGAGTGTAAAATAATTCGCAGTTCGTTATTACACAAAGGAATTTCTTTTTGTTGTAAAGAATAACGTAAAATCAAAGACGAATATTACCATCAATGGAAGATTCTACTATTAGAGATAGATCAGGAGGTTTTCTCACAGACCTTAAGTTTATGACACATTATCACTCCTGTAGCTACTAAGTGTTAACAGACTTTTATTTTTTAAAATGTCAATAATCTTCTAAGTTTTAACATATTATGAAACCTCTCGGTTCTAAAATAATAATAAACTTTTAGATTAACAGTTTCATTTCGAGATTACTTACTGATTTATTATATTATATTACAAGTTATAGTTTTTACAGTAAGAAAAATTTGTTTTTAGAACAGGTACGACGTTTCGATCACTGATGCGATTATTCTCAAGTACAACATTTCATTAAGTATCTAGGTTCTAAAGCGTCAAGACACTTCTAGGTTACAAAAAGTCATCAAGTATCAAGGTTCTAAAGCATCAACAAGCTTCTAGGTTACAACACGACATCAAGTATCTAGGTTCTAAAGCGTCAACAAGCTTCTAGGTTACGATAAGTCTTCAGGTTCTAAAGCGTCAACAAGTTTGTAGGTTACAATACGTCATCAAGTATCTAGATTCTAAAGCGTCAAGACACTTCCAGGTTACAAAAAGTCATCAAGTATCTAGGTTCTAAAGCGTCAACAAGCTTCTAGGTTACAACATGCCATCAAGTCTTCAGGTTCTAAAGCATCAACAAGCTTCTAAGTTATAACACGTCATCAAGTCTCTCGGTTCTAAAGCATCATCAAGCTTCTAGGTTGCAACATGTCATTAAATCTCTAGGTTCTAAAGCATCAACAAACTCTAGGTTTTAAGACGTGAATAATATACTAAGCTGTAACCTCCGTCCTGTCTCTAGGTTCTAAAGCATCAACAAACTCTAGGTTTTAAGACGTGAATAATATACTAAGCTGTAACCTCCGTCCTGTCTCTAGGTTCTAAAGCATCAACAAACTTCCTTGTTGCAACACATCATGAAACTTCTGTATACACGTGTATATAAATAGTAAATTCCATCATGAATAGTTTTCTCAAACAAACAACAAATAACTTTGGAATATGACTTAGGCGTCTACCTCGAACAATAAAGCAAATATTACTTATCCCAGTAAATTATTAGATGAAACGAATTTCTTATAATCACGGACAACGATTGTTCTTTCCAGTGTAAATACAATCACAGAGCAGTTTACGATAGAACACATTCTTAAAAAAACGTTTATTTTGTTACTGACGGTTAATCAACTGATTAGTTTACTAAATTGTTGTTATAATAATAAAATATATTTATCATCTATGTTTTATTAAACCCATATATATAATTGTTGTTATTATAGACTAGAAATTAAAAGTCGTTTCCACAAAGTAACGTGTAACTATTGTTATTACAATTAAAAATATGAGTATAGTTAACACAGTTCAAACTCGACTTTTTTTACGTAAGATGTTTCTAAGAAATTTCTGAAAGGACAGGACTGTCTTTTTTTCCATCTCATGGAAATTATAACTACTTAAGTAGAGTTAGAATTATTAGAGGATTTGATATTGCATAAAAGTTTTCTCACCTTGAAACTCCTTCCTTGCTGCACTCACATTTGTAACAATGTTAGACACATGGCCCAACACAGCAGCAAAAAGAAACAAACCGAAGACTAATTCAATGACCAGGAATAGGTATTCTCCCTTAGTTCTGGGTCTTGGCAAATCCCCAATGGTAGTAAGGGCTAAGGTACTCCAGTAAAAAGAATGAAGATATTCACACACTACATCGTAACAGTTTTCGCCACGGGGGTTGAACCAGTTGCGGGAACCGAATCCTCCATTTTTTGCGATAATGTGAAACAAGCAAGCGTTCCAGTGAAATATTACCAGGAGATAATGTGCCAGGGACACCGTACGAAAGATGTTCGGATAGTTTGTGTGTCGTTCGGTTCGGTCTAAAAATGCCCAAAATTTATAAATTTTTACCAGTCGTAGACAGCGTAAAATTGAGTTAAATCCGATGGAAAGATATAGAAAATCAATTGGCAAGAGACATAAACAATCAATATAAAATAGAGTTGAATTCATATAATGCTGTCGAAGCTTGTCCGAGTCCGTCTGTAGCACTCCTTCCTCCAGATATCCAGTACGGAAATGAAATGCAATATCTAAAACGTACAGAATGTCTGCAAAATAATCTAGAGTTAACCAGGCCACAATGGTGTTCGCATTTATTTCATAAAAGGCAAACCGGTAGATCACTACCCAGAAGTTATAAAGAAAAGCAATGCTAACAACCATAGACCAGTAATAGGACAGCTTACCTGACGGATCAAAAACAAACTTCCAGTTACAGCCAACTTTGTTGTTACTTGAACTGGACGTCTCCCATTTTTCAAAATCCCGCTTGATTTCTTTCTGTCGCTGCTCTCTAATTCTTCGAGAGATCTCCAGATCTGATCCGATATGAGCTTTATTAATGAAGGCCATTGATTCCCTTGACCGCCGTTTTTGATCTCCTCCATGAAATCTTCTGCTCACGGCTTCCAGCAAACTTTGTTTTGAAGCCGATTTTGATTTTAAAGTTTCAAATGATTTTGTAGAGTACAAAGGCGAAGACAGTGGAATGCGCGAGCTGCTATCGTTACGTCTGTCGCTGGCGAGACGACAACACTCTTTTCCAGCAGACGTTATAATTCCCGGAACTACACGTGGTCCGTTGGTTGTCAGAGCTCCGCTACCATACTTGACGTTTTCCGGTGCAGCGTTACTGATCACGGCTATTTCATCCAGGTTATCGTCTAACTGCAAATCCTGTTTAGAACAGGTCGTGTGCTTCATGATTTTGCCTGTTTCACGGCTATTTCTCATTGGTGCTATAGGTATTTGTTTCATGTTCTGAAGTTATCTATTAACCCTAGTATATAAAATGGTAAGAAATCTGCTAAATCAAAACTTCAACCTAACACTCAACCAGCTCGTCTTACTGATATAAAGTTTCTCATAGTCTATGTGAGCAGATATAGCTTGTTCTAAAGCTACTTTAAGAAATATATGTCAGTAGATTCTGCACCCATTTAGGATTAATCAGTATTTTATTTTCATTAATAAATTACTGAATGCAACGGTCGAGATTAAGACAAGAAAACAAATGAACAAACAAACTAAACACTGCTGCAAATATATACATATGTGTGCATTTCCTGACTGCGTAGAATGTTGTATCCAGACAATATTTACGCTATTTTGTCACTCCTTTCAAAACTGACCTTTGTCTGTCTGCTTCTCTGACAATCGGCGTGATTTACAAGTTAACCAATATTTAGCTTTCTGCTAGTGATAAGGTCGTCTTTTATTTGTAATTCCTGGATAATCCATTCAAAACAACGTTCCAACCTGTGAGGTATACGAATTGTTGTTCTTGACTAAGATTTTATATCACAATAGAATCAAAATAGAAACATTAACTATTGCGATGCACGATCATTATATAATGTATCTACGTGCGATCAACATAACATCTTGACATTGCAGGTTTTTTGTATTAATATAATCTACCAAAGGTCTTAGTTTAGTGAGGAATTGTTACTTTGCTATGAGCAAATAGTTAACATTATTTATTCCTCATCTGTGTTACTCGACAACAACTCTATAAATGTAGAAGAGTAAACTTACATGAAAGACAAAGGGCTTTGTCCTAAATATTATACCAAAGATAGAAACCGTCATCATCCATGGTGAGTACTGTGATGCTGTTAATTGTTACTGAAACTAGTTTACAGAAATGACCATCTCTACTAACGAAAACAATTGACGTAAAAGCTTAGAGTGATTATTTCTTGATCTCGTATTGTATTACTGGAGATGAACTTATGATGAAACAACATAAGAGAAATTGGTACAGAGATGACTAATTTACAATAACATCTGTTGAAGATATAACACATAATATAATCTAGCAAACTGTGACATGTATCTACTTCGAACTGTCTGTGGAGCAACTGGCTTAGCTTTTATTCCCTATAAATGAGCACAACAAACCCCCAGCATACTGCTGTTCCAGCTGATCACGAGCTTACAGAATGGACAATCCCATTATTTGGAAAGGGAAGGACGTGATAAGAGAAATGTAAACAGCATATTCGTTCGTGTCGCCTTAAAACTTATATACATTTAGAATTATAGATACAGCAGTAGTGTTGAATTAGCTCTGTTATAACTACAGTATTGACTGTTTAATCATAAATAAATTTCAAAGTGTTCAGAAATTCTAAAATTCACACCATATATTTTTACGTTTTTAACTTTAGTTGCGATGTTAGGTGGAATTCTGAGTTAGTCCTCATGGATTTCTGACTCAATCCTCATAAACGAGAGCACATAAAATATAGTGTTGAATTGAAAACCTATAAAAACTATGTAGTACATATAATTCAGTGCGAAGAATTTGTAAATAATTTGTTGAAGAAAGCTAAATTTGATCTTGTAAACGGCAGAAACATATAAGTTTGTATCGATATGAAGCTATTAAACTTATTAAAGAAACTCAAAGGTTATCTTGAGAGCTGTTCTGAATCAAAACATATACCTATGATTAAGACTGATGACGTGTCTAATATTACTATATTTGATAAAGCACTTGAACTAACCTCTTTTACGGATTACTTTCTTCTGACAATGTAGTTCCATACATTTATTAAATGACTCAACTGGAATTGATTTAAAAATTATTTAATTTTTAAAATTATAAATATTTTATATAATAAGTGAAATTTGGTTTCAAATGTTTTCTTCGAGTTTTTCTATTAAATGAGATAATTTCTAAGTGCAAAATGTGTTTTTACTCAATAGATAATACATAATCAAGCCTAACACATATTTAAAGTTATTTATGTCAAACAATGGATTGGTAGAATACAAATTACTCAATGACATCGCTTAGGATATACCAGATGTTAAGCTGACATCGTAATTGTTAAGATTTATCTGGCGTGTTATCGTCTAGAGTGGAAGGATGAACGATATTGCTTAATATCGATTTAATCTGGTGGGTTAGCTCTTTCTATATATGGTTAACGCAATAATTCATTTATATTACTGGGCTTAGAAAAGCCTACAGGCATTAATGAAATGTCTCAGTTTGCCGAATATGTAATGTTTACGTGAATTATTAATATTTTAATTGTAGTTGGTCGAGTGTTTTATGTGATACTATATTAGAGTTGTTTTAATTACAGTGTTAATTTAGTATGATTTCACTATACTACCACAGTAATATAAGGTATTTAGGGGTTTTACTACGATATTCGTATGAAAGGGATTTCAGGTACCAGAGCTGGTCTCATTTTGCCCAGTAAACAGTTTTTATATACATTTTGAAATATTAAGTTATTAACGGTGTTTTTAAAGAGTTTTCATGTGGCACTAGGTAGTTGTTAGTATAATACCATCTTGGTACTAACTACATTATCAACACAACTAACCACGGACACTGAACGATGGTATGACTCCGAGACGATGTTGTTTGAGCACCTATGTAAACGACTCTGGGTCTTTTTGGTGTATGTCTAGTAGGTTTTAGCTGTTTTTAGTAGTTACTGATGAAATAGAATATTCCAACGTTTATTGGGTGATATATATCACTGTAGTATCTACTTTTTTTGTTTTATATCTTTCATATTTTTGTACAGCTGATGTTTTTTGCTCAATTTTGATAGTATTATATTGATTCCTGTTTTATAGTTAATGATATATTTTATTTTTTAACATATTAACATTATCTATGTATGTATTTAGACACTGATATAATTTCAAATAGCTAGGACAAAAATATCGTTAATTTTCTATTTTACATCTTATCTGATTTATGCACCCCCACACGTACGCATATTATTGTAAACATACACATAGACAGACTCAAGAATTTATGTAGCATTTATATATTCATATAAACAGAATGATTTATAGATAGATCCATATAGTGGTGGGGATATACAGTGTTGGCCAAAATGTTTGCATATTTTGTAAGAAATGAAATCATTATTATTAAGATGGAATACAAATACACTTAGTGCTGTCAAACTGTTATATTAAACATCTACATATAATGACACAAGTTCTGTGGACGTCATGAACGATTTATTATAAAAGAAAACAATTTTATCAGACACCTGAAGAAAGATGTGTAATTCAGCATTTTACTTATCACAATAAGCTTACCAAAACATATATAACATCAAATTATTATGAAAAGCGTCCGTAACCTTATATCAGTTCATATTAAACATTCAATTGGTTGGTCCTCCTCGTACTCTAATAACCTCCGCAAACGACGTGACATGCTGTCGATGAGGTTATTGGTGTAATCTACCGTGATATAATCCAAACTTATCATTATAAGGCACTGCAACTTAGCTACAGTAGCTAGTTAAGGGTCGTGGTTAGTAATTTTCCGGCTCAGTTGTACCCAACAGTTCTTAATGGGATTACACACTGGAGACTTTTGCTGGAGATTTTGTAACGTCCTCCTGGTCAATATAATCCTGTACAATACGTGCACTGTTGTCAGTGGCATTGTCATTCTGAAACTGGCAAACTTTGCTCTAGCATATGGCAGAAATATCTTCTGCATGTGATGCCTTTAGGAGGTGCCATTGACGTTTTCCTGGAGGATATGTAAAGCAGTTTTTCCACCATGATGAATAGCTGTCCAAACATGTACTGCACCAACTCCTGTGTGTTTCCTGTAAGAAAAACAGTCTTCCTTCCTTTGTTCTCCAGGCAAACGACGAACACGAATCCTACCATCTGCTTTAACTAGGCAGAAACAGGACTAATCTGAAAAGATGACATATCGCCAGTTGGCATGCTGTCTTGCTCAAGTAACACCGTATCCGTTGACGGTGAATTCTGGTTAATATCGGTTTGCAGGTAGCTTTTCTTGTAAAATAATCTTGTTTGGTCAGTCTCCTATTCACCGGATAACCTGGAATGAATGTGTTCATGCAATTCCTGTCATAAGGTGTTGCAAGACTGCTTTCGATCTTTAGGTATTAACCTGATCAAAATACGGGCAGTAGTTTCTCGGTATCTACCAGTAGCCTTTCTTGTAACAAAGTTTCCTGTAGTCCGATGACGTTTCAGGATTCTGGGTACTCTACTGTTCTGGAAATATCAGTTTGCTTCATACCATTTCTGGACAGTCGAACAATTTAACACTATAACTTGTGGCACGTGACGAGGGATGACACTACACCAAGTACAGAGAAATTGTCTGAACAAAGCGTTAATTTGTTTAGAAAAACATTATACCAAAAATACACCCTTTTATACAAAAAAAGGTGTGTATGTATGTTTGACGAAAAAATGCTCAAAATAACTTAAATAGACCAGAATAACAACTCGAACATGTTTCTTCGATCATACGCTACCTTCTCTGTTACTACCTGGGCATTTACTCAATAACTACTCCATGCATGTAGACAATAATATCAATATAGAACAGTATGCAAACATTTTGTCCAAGACTGTACCAACTGCCTGATTTAGCTGATTTGTGAAATAGGTTGAAAAATAGAGACAAGTGTGAATAATATTGCTAACACAAAAAAATATCAATGAAAACTGCCATTAGACACTTATAAATGATTAAACATAGAATACTAAGGTGATACGAAAAATATGTTTCCTGCAATTGCCATTACAACTGTCACATGATTTATAAAATTCTCAGGAATTTCTTGGCATGAAGGGTCAATAATGACACTCAAGGTATTTACGCCTATAGCCACTACTTAAAGAAAGAAACTTGAAATTTACCTTACCAAATTCTGTTAACGTAGTAGATTTGCTCAGTATGTTTCAAAAATATGAACTTAGCCGTACAGATGAATTTCAGTGCCTACATGTACTATCTAACAATAGTATTGTCATGTTTTTCTTGGCAGTGTATAAATTCAAGTAACATAAATATGAAAATGTATCCTAATTTAAACAGCTTTGTATAAAGCCACAATGATGTTTTCGATTTTGAGATTTAATATCATTTTATACCACGTCCTATTGAATACTACAAAATATTTTAGAACTAATGCTATTAAATATCTTCATATTTAATTCTTATAAATGAGAAACATAGATTATAAAAAATACTTTGTATTGGTTTTATATTTTTATTTATAACGTGTTTTACATTTGAAAATTGTGAATTGAGCTTAAATATTACATTCGATGTATCATCATCGCTTTGTAGGCTCTTCTTCCAACATAGCCTCTACTATTAAGATACATTCAACGATTTTATCCAGTGGCTTGTATTTATATTTTATCTCTCCTATATGTGTGACCCATTTTGTTTTGTTCTATATCTTTGAGATTAAAGAAAAACATAGAAGGAGGTTTATTTGTCTTATTTGGTTTGAATTTCGCGCAAAGCTACTCCAGGGCTATCTGAGCTAGTCGTCCCTAATTTAGCAGTGATAGACTAGAGGGAAGGCAACTAATCAACACCACCCACCACCAACTATTGGGCTACTTCTTTGCCAATGAACAGTGGGATTGCCCATAATATTATAACACCCTCATGGCTGAATGGGCGAGATTGTTCGGGGACAAAGATTCGAGCCAGCAGATTGCGAGACGAGCACCCTAACCACCAGGCCACAGGTAAGGAACTACTGTTGTATTACGCTGTCTTTCTTTTAAATGCTACAACTAATATTACTGTTCGGTCATCTGGTTGTTAATACATATAATATGCATATGCGGGTTTAATACTAGATATTTAAATTTAGTCCGTATTGGATAGACTCATAATATTGAAAATGTCTTGCTTCAACATGTTCTTCTGAAGACATTAAGAACTAAGGAGAGTCCAATTGGAAAGTTCTCAAAACAAAGACAGTAAGCTTTATTTTCAGTATTAAAGTATTTTATCAAATAGACAGTCTATGGTTATAAATAAATAAAACATCTAAAACCTATCTT